ACGCCTCACGGCGGGGAGGCGGGTGTGATCGGTGGTATTCCATAGGAAATCTCTCCGAGCCGTATCTCTAGCCGTACACTAAGCCCCATACGGTTCGTGCTATGAACTCTATACACGCATACGATTGATCACTTAGGAACTTGATTCTGGTGGCGCTCATGCCCCTTTGGCGCCAATGTTTGAGCTGTCTTGGTCTATATCCCGAGCTGCTCAAATGCATCGGACCCGCTGTTTGTCTGCCATGTCTTGCCCTCGCAAAATACCGTGAGCATGAGTTCAACAAGCACGGCTGGCGAGTCGATCGCCTATCGCGTCATCATCCCAAGTGTTCTTGGGCCTGTTGTTGCATTGCCCCTGTGCGGCATTCGAATGTACACGAAACTCTACATATTGCGCAATACAGGATATGATGATTGTAAGCAATCCACCTGTTTAGATTATCGAGGACAATGCTTACAGTACGATTAGATGCGATTGCTTTAGCGACGGTACGCATTGGCATTCGGACAATACTATTCCACGCGCATAGGAATTGACAGGAGGCATAGATTCTAGCCCTCGGGTTTTCACTCACTACTTGTTACCGTAAGACGCAGATGTACAACTGTCGACAACTTGCTCATAGCTAAAGCGACTCAGAGACGACCAACGGTTTAGGAAAGCATATCTGGGATGTATCACCCTACCAGTTTCACCAATTGATGAAGGTAGGCATTGGCTACACGCACCTTGTAACTGATATCTAGCAAGTTACTTACCACCATCACAGATTGGTGACATCGCCGGCCCGATTTTCTACAACCTTTCGACTCTATGCATAAAAACATCGCTATGTCTCTTCTACCTGCGCTTCTCCGTTTCCAGAGGGTTCCATATCGTCATCTATGCTCTCCTGGCCGTCTGTGTCATTTACAGCAGCCTTGCCGCGTTTGGTTTTGCCTGGGTGTGCCAGCCCAAAGAGAAATACTGGGACTTTAGCATCACGAGCGGATCCTGTGTCGACCTTAATGCCTTGTTCTTGGCCAACGCATGTATCAATGCGGCGACGGATTTCATACTCCTGGTTCTGCCACTGTTTATCATCAAAAATCTCATCCTACCCAAACGACGCAAGATTGGTGTAGCACTGTTGCTAATGACTGGTTCTTTGTGAGTTGGCCACTTGAAGTCATTCAGTGAAGTTTTAGACTGATTGCATCACAGTGTTCTGATTGTTAGCATAATCAGAGTCGAAGCTGTGGTTAGAGGCATGGGCACGATTGCAAAAGACGGGACTTGGGGCATGGTTACAAACTTTATCTGGATGTCAGTTTACTACTCGCAGAACCTCACGTATACTTACTGACGTTGGTAGTCTTGTGGAACTATGGATGGGCGTTATTTGCACATGCCTACCTACGCTGCACACATTCGTCAATAATCGATGGGCTGCGCGATGCGCCAAACTTGCTGCTAATAATAACGGCAATGCTGTACCGGACCACCAATGGATCGGACTACAAGATACCCCAGAGAAACTATCCTCGGCCTCAAAACCAGTCGCGGTTGTAAATTTTCTGGATTCGAAAAGTCATGGAAGCGACTCGTCCATGGCTCGAACAATCGTATGCGAACAAGGTTCTTTGCCCCCTGTTTCGCAAAGCAACACTCTGTCTACAGCAGTTTCAGCAGTGTGAGTTTGGATCATTAATAGTGTCTATACCACTTTAGCTCGATTGGAACAAACCCTATATGCGCTTGTGCGCATTGGACTTGGAATTACTTCTACTTTCGCATCCCGTTTGCGACCTTCTCGGCCAACATGTACAACGTGCCTTGTGGATGACCTGGAATACTGAAAGGAACCACCGAGTTATCAACAACACGCAATCCCTTGACGCCGAATACTTGGCCCTTGGAATCCACAACTGCGCCTTCCTTCGCAGATTTACCCATTGCGCATGTTGAACTTGCGTGCCAGATTGGCTGTGCAGATTCTTTAATAAACTTCAAGATATCAGCATCAGAAGATACTGCTGCACCGGGCACAATCTCTGGACCAACAACATAGTTGGCAATGGCGCGGCTATTCCAGGCTTCACGCACTCGCTTGAATGCCGCAACGAGGATTTCTCCATCGGCGGGATCAGTCAACCAGCCCAAGTTGATGACTGGTGGATCGGAAATAGAAGCGCTACTGATTGTGACGTTTCCTCTTGACAAAGGGGTGAGCAACGTAGCACTAATCGAACCAATGGTTGGGTAGTCTTGGCTACCACTGGGGAAGCCGGAAGCAATGTACTCGATCTCTGGCCAATCCTTGGGGAAATCGGCCAGCAACTTGGCCGTACGAGACGAGAAATTCGCACGATTCTTGGACGGAAGTTTTTCAAAAGAGAGATAGCCTCCCGCAGAGCTGTATGGACCCGAGGCGTTGGAGTAGTATTGCTGTAATGCGACAGCCACCTGGGCGGGCGTGCTGAGATACGTGCCAGTGTTTGGGACGTTGAAACCACGTAGTACATTGAGGAAAATTTGGTCCCAGAGATTCTGTCCTACGCCTGGAAGGTTGGAAACGATTGGAATGGAGTGTTCAGCAAGAGTATCTACGGGTCCAATACCTGTATTGAATGTTAGCACGTCTGCATTTGTTGACGAGAAATATGTCAGAGTAGTTTACCGGATAGCATAAGTAGCTGTGGTGAATGAAACACGCCTGCCGAAATGATGACTTCCTTCTTTGCAGAAAGCACATAACTCTTGCCGTTTGTGGTTACGGCTACACCAGTTGCCTTTTTGCCATTGTCAAACAGGACCTTGCCAGCCTGAGATCGCAAGTAGACGACTGGACCTGATGAAGGAGAAGCGAGCGTATCGATATAGCTACTTTTAGAGGTGCTCCTTGTTGCGTTCTTAGGATCGATTGTCGTAGGTGCCCATGCGCCTCCGTCCAATGCTCCACTGCTAAGTCCCTTGATGCTGAGCTTCATACCAATATCTTGTAAAGCACGTACTAGCCAGCTTTGCGTAGGCTATGGAGATCAAAGTATGGAGTCAGTTCATGTCCCATAAGCTACTTGGTTGGATTATCAGACTTACGTCGACCCAGTTCGCCCACGATACCTGCAGCGGGCCAAGCAGCGAATTATCGAATGCTGAAGCATCATAACGCACCGTAGCATTTGGCGCATTTCGCTTCTCCAAGTTCGGCGGAGTGAGCGTGCTGCTCTTCTTGAAAAATGGAAGAACTTTGTTAAAGACATAGCTCTGGTCTCCTACTAGATCAGCCCAGCGCTGGTACGAGCCGACGGTTCCTCGGTGGTAAGACATGGTATTGAGCGCCGAACTTCCTCCCATCGTCTTGCCCTGCGCATAGTGAATGCGCCGGTTACCAGCCGAGGGCTGCGCAGCAGCTACCAAATCCCAGTCTACAAGAGGCTGGCGAGGATAGTTCTCTGCAGTCCCGAGAACAGGCATTACGAGACCGTAGTACGGTACTACAGATTGGTTTCCATTGTCTTGCTCGTAGAACCCGCCGGCTTCCACGACGGCGACGGACGCAAAGGCAGAGAGTCGTGTTGCTAAGGCGAGCCCAGTCGTGCCACCGCCAATGACTAGTATCTCACGTCAGATTACAGGAATACTTCAAAAACATTTTCTGTGGGAACATAGTATTGAGAGAGATTTCCGTACCCACGTAGTCATAAGAAGCGTTTCCAGGTGTGCCCTCACGAATAGCCGCTGCTTGCACATTTGTGATAGAGACGAAGCTTAGCGCGGCAACACTAGCCCAGCGTGCCATGCTCGGCAGATTAAACGTGAACGTTCCTGGAGCACTCATCAAAAGGCTTAGTCGTACTAGTTAACAGGAATTACCCGTTTAAATTGTCTTTGGGCGCCGATCGCAGTCACAGGAAGTGGGATTGTGGAGATATTTTCGAAAAAATGAGGCAAAAAAGGGAATTTTCTCTTCTTCCCATTCCTTCGCTCACCGCTGTGCCCTTGGACTTGGGCTCTTTAATGACGAGGAATAGTAAAGACCTGGGGGCTGGGTCCCGCTCAGCAGCTGAGTCGTGTGCCGTCCTGTGAAGGGCCGACCGCGAGCCCACACCAATCACAGGGAAACGGAGACTTACAGATACAGGTACCGGCATATTGGAGGCTTGCATGTTCCCTTGTCTTTGGCGCGCATGAAAGATGGCTGCATCCTAACATTCGCAGCTCCGTCCAGGCGCGTACTCTGTTCGTGGGTTTTATGCTCCAGCCCGCCTGCGCCCGCCCGTCAGCGCGCTTGTGGAGGGGACCGTCCAGACCCTGTGCCGCAATGCATGGGTTGCAACGTGGTTCATTGCACGCTCCCCTGCAAACGGAACTGCAGAGCGAAGAAAGCCCGAATGTCGAGAATACGATGCATGTCTTGTCAAATGACGGTCTGTTCATGGTGAACGATGGAGAGTTTGGGTCGAATTGCGTTGTTCGGCCGTATACCGCCCATGTCCCCTCCCACCCCTTTGCCCCCTTTCTGTGCTCATCTGGAACCAGGTCTACGGTCTCCAGGATCTGTATTCAGCGCGTATGTAGTCAGCCTATGTCGTGCTTCTAAGATCTAGATTATTTATAGAGGCCGATTTGAAGTAGTTTGAGTCTTTGCTCGGAACCAAGCTTTGCTGATAGCACGTGGTGGCTTTTTCGTTGCTCGCGTGTATCGACGTTTGTCAGGTCAGGCGAAATTGAGCAGTGACTTTTTGTGTGAGTCGCGGATAATTGGTATGGGGTTTCGAGTTCTTTGACAGTGGTCCCTGCAATGTCTATCACTCCTCCCCAGAGGGTAGAATCGCGTGACTTTGGCTTGGCAGAATGGGCTTCGGGCCGTGTTTTGTGGTACCCGGCACCGTATCCGCTGCAACGTCTTTGTCAGGTGAAATGCAGGTATGTAACGTCACAGTGAGTGTTGGCTACTCAATTCGTATCGACTTCAGTTCCACTGGTTATTTACTCAAAGGCTTGGATGAATGTTATGTCTATTGTCTCCTACACCTCACAAACAGCATTGCTGCATCTTCGTATTACATAATATTGAGACTATCTACGAACCGGTCAGCACTTGTCAAATCACAAGGCTACGAAGAAATTGCAACACCGATATTTTGTTACTCTAACTTGGAAAAAAAGCCACCGCACACATTCCAATTGCACGCCGTTACCTTCCTTTTGTACTATATCCAACCAGCCCAATACCGCCCGAATTCAATCCATCTTGCCTACATCAAAACAGATTTTTCTGTCATGATTATTGCCTTCGTTTTGTCCAATATAGCGAACATGTCCTCGTCTTCCTTAATGCGCTCCCCGCCGCTTCCGTTCATGACAGCAAGGCATTGCTGTATATGCAGCTCGTCTCGAAATATCATTTCGCTGACCGCGTCCCATCCCAGCTCCTTTGGTTCTCCAATAAGAACAACTGGATCCTCAGGATCAGCTCGTCCCGTCATGGAGGTTACTGCTCCTAATCGATCTCCAGTTCCAGAGCTAACCCGCTCGGTGTAGCTAAAGAATGGAAATTTATTAGCACTTGTTTCAAACAGTGTGTGCAGAGTAGTCCTTACCGTATTGTGAACGATAGTGGTCTGTTTCCGCTGAACACTTCCAGATATATGGGCAGATGGACTTGTTCTATGTGAGATTGGAAGTCCTCCGGTGTTACTTCGGGACGACGGGTGTAGAACACCATCACTGTAATTGTCATGTTTGCGGTGCCACCGGGGTTCGGAACAAGGCCTGCAAAGGAGAAAAAAACAAGTAGTATCGTTAAAATGGGCCGAGTTGGAATGCAATGCGGTTTTGTAGATGATCGCAAAAGGCGGAGGATAACAGCTGTTTTGGACCTGTCCACGACGAAGCTACCGGCGGAATCACACGCCGGTTTATGTTTTTTTAAACTATTAGCACATGATCGGCTTACCGTCAATGCACAGGCTACATTCCAAAAGGGGTTCAACACGCAGTGACTGCGCCGAAACTTTGAGGCAAATCATCACACCTACCTGGCGATCAGAACCACTTGTTGCCTCGTAAGTCGTGGCGGATAGTGGGGCACGTAATGGACGATTCGCTCAAGGCAAGTCAAACGGCTGATACTGACTCTCGATTACTGTTTCTTGTTCTCCTTGCTTCTGTTCCACGGAGCTAGCTGCGGCACTTGACAATTGGCCTGTTTTCGAGACTGTGCCGCACTCCAAAATCAATATTCCAAGACTTATCAGTGGGTACTGACGTTTGAAAGTAACCAAGTCGCTATTATTCAGTTGACGGTTGCTGCTCGTTGGGGTCGCAGCGACCCCTTGCATAGTATAGGGGGTGGTGAAAAACCAGTTTGCCCTCGGGGCTGGGCAACGGCGACAACGGGCGCTGGGCTGGAAAGCCTATTACCCCCTTGATGCCAGCACTTCAGCATCGCGAGAGATAAGATGATAAAAAAGAGCCGCGTCGGCGGCGTACGACGTCTTGTAGTCGGTATCGGAGCGTACCCCGTACCCCTTTTGACCGTTGGTGGAGCCCGCGCACCGACTCCGAAGTGGGTCTCGAAGATTAACTGAATTGGGCACTATCATTTTCGCACCATACAACTAAAGAAGATGGGAGGGTTCAATCTGATTCAGACATGCAAAAGTCAACTCTGAAGCGTCCATTGATGGGGTGTTTGGTGTGCTACCCCGCGTTGTGAGGGGTAGCGGACTATCTGCCACCGAAGCATCCGTCCACATGCTCGCAGCGACACTCCACGGGCCGGACCGCGCATCCGAGCGTCAAGATGGTACCTCTGCTCATCTTGAGATATTTTGAGATGAAAAGAGCGACCAAAGTTCAGTGGCGCTGACACTTCTAGCTGAACATTGCCTACAAGCACACATCGACCGAGAAGATGAAGTTTCGCGATGGTATGTATCGTTGCAAACTGCCAACATTGATTTATTTAAATTTTGGCTAATGCAACCTAGGGATGTGGCTGGTCAATGACCGCTTTACAGTCCAGCATGCAGAGGAAGTATACACAGTTACCCCTCGCGAAGACAAAAAGGCAATCACACTGCTCTGTCCGAGTAAGAAGATATTCTCTCGTGGCGATACCCTCAACTTGAGCACGATATCCGTTGAAGTCGAAGCCCAGTTCGATGGCGTCATCTCCCTCGAAGTCACGCACTTTGCCGGTGCTAGGCGCCTTGGTCCGGATTTTGATCTCTTCCCGGACGGGAAGCCCGAGTGCAAGGGTGAGGTTGTAAAGAAGGACAAAGGTACCACAATCACCTCAGGGGCATTGAGCGCCACTGTCGGTTCCGATGAGCACACTTTTGATATCAAATTCCACGCCACCGATGGATCAAAATCGTTGACCGCACTTGGCCACCGCAGTGTAGGCCTTGCCTACTCACCGGCTTTGAGCACACCTAAGACTGCTGGAGACCTGGGTGCTCACAAGCATTACATGTTCACTCAGACTGACTTGGGCGTCGGTGAAACCATTCATGGGCTTGGTGAGCGTTTTGGAGCCTGGAACAAGGTCGGCCAAAATATTGAAATTTGGAATGAAGACGGCGGCACATCGAGTGAGCAAGCCTACAAGAACGTATCGTTCTGGCTGAGCTCCAGAGGCTATGGCGTCTTCATTGATACTCCCGATAAGATTGACCTAGAAATTGGAAGCGAAAGGTGTGCTAGACTGCAGACTACAGTTGAAGGACAACGATTGAAATGGTAAGATTGCCAGATACCGGGACATGACAACGACTGACCCTTAAGGTATCTCATCTATGGTCCTACTCCAAAGGAAGTTCTCACAAAGTACTCCATCCTCACTGGAAAATCGAACCGTGTGCCTGCATGGTCGTATGGACTGTGGCTCAGCACCTCTTTCACAACTTCTTACGATGAAAAGACAGTCCGCCATTTCGTTGAGAAGATGTCCGAATCCAAAATTCCCGTTGAGGTCTTCCATTTTGACTGTTTTTGGCTCCGCGCTTTTCACTGGTGCGACTTCATTTGGGACCCTGAGTCCTTCTCCGACCCTGCAGGTCAAATCACGCGCATGAAAAAAGACGGACTCATCAACAAAGTCAGCGTCTGGACAAACCCTTACATCGGTCAAGCAAGTTCTGTCTTCCAATATGCAGCCGACAAAGGCTATCTGCTCAAGAAGACAAACGGCGATGTGTGGCAGTGGGATCTCTGGCAGACGGGCATGGGTATTGTCGACTTCACGAACCCCGAAGCATGCGACTGGTTCAGGGACTGCATGGAGAAGCTTTTCGAGGCCGGGGTCGACTCCATCAAGACCGACTTTGGCGAGCGCATTCCCACCAAGGAGGTCCAGTGGCACGACAAGACTGTGGACCCGAACCGCATGCACAACTATTACGCCTTCATCTACAACAAGATAGTATACGAGGCAGTCCAGAAGCGATACGGAAAGCATGAAGCTATCCTGTTTGCGCGTACGGCATGCGCTGGCTCCCAGAGATTTCCACTTCACTGGGGAGGTGACTGCGAGTCTACCCCTGCTGCGTTATCCGAGTCAGTACGTGGGGGTCTGAGTCTGGGACTTGCATCATTCACATTTTGGACAAGCGACATTGGAGGGTTCGAGGGCAAGCCACCCCCTTGGATTTACAAGCGTTGGGTTGCATTTGGCCTACTCAATTCTCACAGTCGACTTCACGGCTCAAACTCGTACCGCGTGCCATGGCTGGTCGACGACTCTTCTACAGAGCCCGAGAGTTGTACTGATGTGCTGCGACATTGGGTGCAACTCAAGCGTAGCCTTATGCCGTATCTTTATGCTCAGGCTGAGGAGAGTGTCGCAAACGGTTGGCCAACTAGTGTTCGTGCGGTGGCTCTGGAATTCCCAGATGACCCCACGTCCTGGTACTTGGATCGCCAATTTATGGTCGGCAGCCAAATTTTGGCTGCTCCGGTCTTTGAAGAAGATGGTACTGCTGAGTTCTATCTTCCGCCTGGTCGCTGGTTCAGCTTCTGGGATGGCGAAGAAGAACAAGGTGGCCGATGGGTAAGGGAAAAGTATGGATTTCTCCAATTGCCATTGTTTGTTCGTGAAGGCACCGTATTGGTGCTCGGACAAACTCAAGGCGAGGGCGGCTTCGGATACGACTGGCTCGCTTCTGGCGGCGAGGTTAGACTCTACGGCGTAAAATCAGGTGATAAAGCAGTGTTGGTGGACACCAAGGGCGAGTACAAGGGTATCTTAGAGGTCAACGCTAATGGTGAAGTCAAAGGGATGGATGTGCTGAGCGGGGATTGGAAAGTCTCGAAACTGGGATAGTAAGGGCAGCATAGCGCTACTAGTTTGTGAGGGGTCATGCAGTTCCGCGGGACAACACTCGTTATGCAACATAGAGATCCAACCTTAGGGATTAGAACCGCAGTCATGTTTGCTGCAACTTTTGAGTGTGAGCCGTCCAGGCTCTCATTTTGCATGCTGCCTATTGGCGGAAATTTAACATAAATCCCCGCCCCTCCTACTACTGCACCCCAACATCATTCCACTCTCCCCCCGGATTTAGTTTCTTAGTGATCAGCAATCCGTACCCCCGCCAAGCCGCACGTTTAGAAGCTTATGATGGGCAAATTGTTGGAAACTAGGAGCGGGCTTCCGGCTGAATGCTTGGTGTCTAATACCGGTTGGATGGCGGGATGACCAACATGCATCGATACTTTGCGTTTCGGGGCAATTGGTACCTTGGCCAACAGCTTCTTAAAAGCCGCGGGATACCAGCAGTATCGAGTTATCCCTTCTTACTTCTCAGACTGATTCGAGGACCAGCGAAAAAATGGGGCTCTTTTTCAATTTGGCCCTTGCCATTTTTGCTGGCACGGGCAGTTTTCTCTTCGGATACGATTCGGGAGTGATGACGATTGTTATTCAATCTGAAAACTTTCTTGATTTCTTCAGGACAGATGTATCATCGCCGATTATAGGGGCTGTCAATGCTACATTCTCGGGTGGAGCCTTTTTCGGCTCGTTGATGTGAGGGTCGAGCCTTTGTAGAAGAGGCGAGTTGTATTGACAATTGGCAGGGGTGGGTTTACTATGGACAGCGTTGGTCGGAGAAAGACCATTATGATTGCCGCTTCCATTAATCTTGTTGGTGCAATCCTTCAATGCGCCGCACAGAACCTCGCCATGATACTCGTTGGCCGAATCATGGCGGGGTGGGCGGTAGGTCTACTGTCAATGTCAGTGCCCATTTACCAAACGGAATGCGCTCATCCGAAAACGCGAGGTCTGTACCAACAAGAAAACGCTGAGCTGTTCAAGACTAAAATGGATAGGTCTCATCACTGGAATTACGCAACAGATGATTGGAGTAGGATTTATCGTCTCGACCTGGGTAGGATATGGCTCCTCGAAAGTGCCCGTTACGAATTCCTTCTCTTGGCGTTTCCCACTTGCATTCCAATGCGTCCCATGCATGATTCTCATTGCTGGCATACTGTTCTTCCCGGAGTCCCCGAGATACCTCGTCGAAACAGACCGTGCAGATGAAGCGCTGAGAGTACTCCGGAAGCTGCACTACGATGGAACCAACGATGACTGGGTCCAAGCCGAGTTCAATGAGATCAAGATAACCAGCGATGCGGAGCGGGCAATCTCCGCACCAGGATGGAGGATCATGTTTACGGTACCTGCATGGCGCACGAGATTGATGCATGCTACGCTTGTTCAGTTTTTTGGGCAAATGACTGGGTACGTTCTTTTCAGACACTTATGCTTTGCTCCAAACTGACAGTAGTGCAAGTATAAATGTCATCGGCTACTATAATACGATTCTTTACAAGAATCTAGGTATCACCGGCGATAAAAATCTTCTTGTAACGGCCTTCTATAACCTCGTCGGTCCCATTTGCAACCTTTTCTTCATCATCTTCCTCCTCGATCGCGTCGGACGTAAGAAGCCTCTGCTCTTTGGTACTATCGGTATTTCTATTGCGCTCATCTGTGAGGCCATTCTCGGATCCCAAGTCGAAGGAGCTACTGGATCGAGAAGAGACTCACTATCTGGCGCTGGCATATTTTTCCTGTTCCTCGTCTCATGCATTTTCAGCGTATCATTCGGTCCCATCTCTTGGGTTTATGCTTCTGAAATCATGCCGCTGAGTATACGTGGACGCGGTTCGGCGTTTTCGACTGCAGTCGGTAACTGGCTGGTGGGCACAGTCTGGAATCAGGTCTCGCCCATTGGCTTGGATAATATTACCTATAGATTTTACTTTATTTTCGTGGCCTTTAACATTTGCGTTACACTGCCCACGATTTGGTTCGTCTTCAAGGTACGTGTATATCAAAGTGGGAGATAGAATCAGATTGCTAATTGGTGTTATAGGAGACTAAGCAGCTTACGCTGGAGGAGATTGACTTGCTTTTTGGTGACGAGGACATGGGTACGCTGGCTGGTGGCTTGGACGATAAGCAAAAGCAAATCGAGTTGGAACGCATTGCAAGCGCGAAGAAGCAGCTGGCTGGCTCCAGGGTCACTGCTGTACACTAGATGGATGTTGCGATTGAAATGGCTCTTGGCTGATGGGCGATACTGCGGGAGACGCTCGCTTCGGTACCGCAGTTGCACCTCTCACAAACCCATATCTGTCAGTGAATTTATCGAATAGTGGGAGAGAGTGACTCCTTGAGTCAGAGTTCATATGATTGAATAGACTTATTGACTTGTTGACTTGTTGCAATATTGTTTATAATGCCTAGACTTAAAGGTGAGGTTAAATTGGGGGCTGATTATTACATCAGTGAAATTTTGCATCACATACTTGAGTAATATATGAACCTGCCTTGCTTGATATCCGACACATCGCTTTAAGTCTACACCCTCAGACACAAGAACAAAGACGATATATAATAGACAACTCCCAAAATTGACTGACCGGATCCCCCCAAATCTAACTAAGAGCTGTCCATCAACACTTATGAGGTAGGATGGCTAATCCAGGCAGCATACGGGAGAAGAAAGTTGCCGAAGGCTCACGCGAAGCTTTGCTGTAAGCAACAGCCTGCCCTCTCATCTTAGGCTCTCGGAAATATACTATACAATAAGAACCGATGGGAACACAACCAGTGTGAGTCGCCTTTGCTGCGACTTCCGGCAGAGATGCGCTTGATGATCTGGGATCAAGTTTTTGGAGGCTATCATATATATGCATACCCGAGACGCAATAGCACCGGAATCCCACTTGAATATCGGAGCGAGGACATAACAGGATTCTCGAGTATTATATCTACAAAAAGAAGACACGGGCTCATCTTGATACTGGTGACTGTGTGCCGCCAGATCTACATGGAAACAGCTTGCTTCCAGTTTCCCTCAACACCTGGCACATAGAGTATGAATACCTCAAGTAATTTCTGTCTTATAACGAGAACTGCCTTATACGACCAAGGGACCGGGTAACCTCTGTCATCCCCAACCGTACGGCCAGTTATGCCTTTATCGACAGGAACAATTTTCCGAACCTGAGGACAATACTTGTGCGTTATTGGGGCTTGCAGCGGCGTTGGTTCTACCAGGATAACGAAAGATTGCATGCTAGGTCTTTCAAATTTGGAAAGTGGCTTCTCGAAAAGGAACTGCTGAAGTTCACGAGGGTGAACTGGGTGATCTGTGGCAATGCCGTGGCAGAACTTTACAACATATTCTGGAGATTTTTAGAGCAGGCCGCTCTGGAAGATAGGACGTCGCAGACGACACAGATTAGTGAACGCTACCATTCAAGAGCCATTTTGGCAAATCTGATTCGCTTGGTACCAATACCAAAACTAGGGGACCGCTTCGGCTTTTGAGTCATCATTCTTCGCTCACGCCATTCGAATTTCGACACTCTTTGAGGCCACTCAGCTCATTTTCTACGACATTCTTCCCGGAAATTGCGAATATCTGCGTGTGTATTCTATGAGTACATGCGGAGTATACCTGGCTATCGCTGCTGGGTCGCGGAACAATTCATGATTCGCACACCTACAGGTATAGGGACATCGGTGATCCGACAATACAGTGGGGGAATTCCAAGAGATTGAGAAGATTGTCTCCATTTTTCTCTTTCATATCTTGGTTTGGGGTGCTTCTAAAGAGTTTTGTGGTTACAAAGAGAGTGCAAGCACGTGGCGAGAGTGGAGAGAGATGATAGTTGAAGGGTAAGCTGGGGCAGTACCTTGGATTGACGTTATGTATCATAGCCTCCGCCTTGTTAGAAAAGACATATATCAAGTATTTTTATGATTCCTTCCCTTCCCTAAGAGCCTTGGCACCAGTTTGCATCGAGAAACAATTTGTGCAATGCCCACTTGGTATTCGTTCAAGATGCGTTCTCTCCGCCTTCATTTGAGGTGTACTATAGCTGGAGCTTTGTGTAAGAAAATAAAAAAACATGACGGAAACCGGCGGGTGAAGTATGCGCATGTATAGTGAGTATCTTTGTTCGGCTTATCACGGGTGATATATCATTCACACGTAGTCTGTAGACCAACAAGACACCAGAAGCAAAAATATATCCAAAAAAAGAAGATAGTGTAGCTGAAGCACGTTTCTAGATACTGTCAGTAATTGAATTCGAATGACTCATTGTGAGTAGGTATTGCTTACCGATCGTGCGTCCTCCGGGTTATGAGCCCGGCGCGCTTCCGCTGCGCCATTCAGCTTTTGGACTACCAATTGAGCATGAAGAATATTTCAAATTACATGCAATACAAATCAGGAAGGCTGTGAGTCAGTGGATTGACGTGCTGTTGACCAATCTTGAGACAAATATTTCGATTCAGTGACTGGACCGTGGTGTGGGGGTGCGAACGCATTTTTACCGCTTGTTAGTGCGACTGGTGTCGGACAGTTGCGGCCATATGGAGATAGCGGGACGATTTCGGTTTGCCATGGTAAGTCAAATGTAAGAGCATCAATGAGCTTGTTAGGGAATGATAGAAGCCGCCATTATATCAGACTGGAAATAATGCGTTATTCAATACTAGAATGTAGAGTAGTGTCCAGGGCAGAAGGAATGGTCCAGCTATGCGTCAAGACTTTGCACATATAACGTCTGGAGAGGATTTTCCTTCTGCTTGAACTTTGGATTAATCATATCATTTGGCAAGGAATGACAAGGGCGAATCTCGACGTTGCTCGTTGGTGTTGATGTTGGCGGACATGCATACTTACAATAGGCGGCTAGAAGCGGTTAGCGTCGAAACGCGACTCCACGCGACGCGTCGATAGCGCTTTAGAATGCCTCCCCACACCAGACAGTGAATTGACATTGCCTACACGGTCCGATGAGTAGTTATTCACCAGGCATTCCCTCCTCGTTCGATCCTGCTCTGCTCAACTCGGAACTCGAATTCATTCGCGGCGCGCCTGCCACCCCTTCGTATTCCGACGATATCGACGCAATTCAGCAGTGCATCGTTGAAGACATTGATAAGAAGACCCGCGCAGGAGTCGTCATACAACACCGCGCCTGGAGAGTTGCAGACGTGTTTCGAAGTGAGGGCGAAGGCCTAGTTGGTACTGCTGGTGTTAACACGCACTGCAACCAGTACTAATCCTCCCAGAAACACCCGCAAAGTGCCGCAGATACTTGCCAATCAAGTGCTGTCCTACCGACATATCAACTGGAGACCCGTCGTTTCCCTCTTCACCCCCAGCATTTATTATGCCGCTCATATCATCCCCTATCGCATATCCGCCCAGCTCATCAATCCCACAACCGCCGTCGCCAAAGAAGAGAAAGCGCCCAGAAGACGCCTGTGAGCTGTTGCAGGATGCACCAAATAATAACACCACCCGCAAGATTGGTGGGTTTCTCGACGACTCAGACGATGAAGAGGATATTGCAGCGCTCAAGGAGCACACTTTGAAAAGGAGGGCAGTGAGCAGCATCAAAGACCTACCCGAAGTCCCAGAAGGATTTGCCGACTACACACCACCGACAAGCCAGGATGAATTGGCGGATCCCGAATCGATACCAGTCGAGGAGCTCGACAACTACAGCTTCAAGTCGCAGTCACAATCGCCCGTCAAGCGACCGCATACGTCACACGAACCTACTTCAGCACAACCTATGCGCGGCACGGTGGCTCGTAACGCGGCTGGGAAAGTAATATACATACCGAAGAAGGCAAAACGCCAAGTCGAATCATATGAAGAAATCATTGCCGCGCGCTCGGAGCCTGTTCAGGGAAAAGCGAGGACCAGCTACTATGGACTCAACATTCACGAATTGATGGACGAGGCCAAGACGCTGGATCAAGAGAAGACGCTGAGCAATTCAATGAAGAATCTCGAGTTACCACAACAGTCCGTCGAACAACCCGTCAGCAAAAGTGGCAAGAGCAGTCGTACACTCATGTGGACTGAGAAGTACAGAGCGAAAAAGTTTACAGACCTGGTTGGAGATGAAAGAACACATCGATCAGTACTGCGTTGGCTAAAGGCTTGGGATCCTATCGTCTTTCCAGGATCTGTCAAGGCAAAACCGAAGAAGGCAAAGAATGGGTTCGAGGAGGACGAGCAAAGGCACCGCAAGATTCTACTGTTGACTGGCCCTCCTGGACTTGGAAAAACTACCCTTGCACACGTTTGTGCACGGCAAGCGGGCTACGAGGTTCAAGAGATTAATGCATCCGATGAGCGCAGTGGAAACGTTGTCAAAGGTCGCATTCGGGATATGGTAGGGACTGAGAACGTCCGCGGCATCAACACCAGCACAGCAGATGGCAAAGTCCGTAAAGCGGGAAAACCAGTGTGCGTTGTGGTTGACGAGGTAGATGGTGTAGTGGGAAGTGGCGGCTCGGGCGAGGGTGGCTTCATCAAGGCCCTTATTGACTTGATCAATCTGGACGAGAAAAACTCAAAAGCACTTGGGCAGGGACAGTCAAACACCGGAACCAAGAAGAAGGGAGACAAATTTCGACTTTTACGGCCACTTATACTGATCTGCAATGACCTCTATCACCCATCGCTACGGCCACTACGACAGTCGTCGCTGGCCGAGATAGTGCACATTCGCAAACCTGGCCTTAACATGGTTGTTTCGCGCATGCAGGATATCTTCAACAAGGAAGGCATCCAATGCGATTCTGACGGTGTTCGTCGGTTGTGCGAGGCTACGTGGGGAGTGAGCACAAAGAAAGAGGGTGGAACGGGTAGTGGCACAGGCGAAGGTGACATTCGTGGCATCATGGTAGTCAGCGAGTGGATAGCAGGGCGCTTACGAGCTACCCATGGTTACAAGTCCAAAGACCCGCCACATCTCTCGCGGAAATGGATAGAAGACAATCTCATCAACGACCTGAAGCATGGCGGAGGTGCTACTCGCAGTTTGGGACGAGGTGGTGCAAAGGATGTGGTTGATCGTGTCTTCCGCGAAGGCGCTGGCTTTCCCAAACAAGCTGAAACCACTGATCCAGCAACGGCATTAGCGAGAGCGAAAAGCGGTGTAATCGGTGTTGCTGAGGCGGCAAAACGGCGCGCTATGGATCGTCTTAGGGAGATGGTCGATACAAGTGGCGATTGTGACCGTGTTGTGACTGGTGAGCTTGCTAAAGTACCGGATACCTAGAGTGTACTAACGATGAACAGACTGCTTTACTGCGTACCCTGAGAAGCCTTTCCAAGACGACACCTTTCTCAGCAAACCCAACGCAGCTTACGAATGGTTGCATTTCCACGACACAATCAACGCAGCCGTGCATGGCTCACAGGAATGGGAACTTGCACCCTACCTTTCCAACTCTGTATTAGCATTCCACGACCTATTTGCCTCACCTATTCGATCAACTACGAATCCCGTAACAGATCCGGACGCCCAGCCAACTCCCTTTTCCGGCCCTGGTGCAAGTTTTGCTGCAATGGAGCAGACCAAAGCTAGCAGAGCTCAGTTGATGGCGCTGCAAACAACTCTGAGCTTATCTCTAACTCGCATGTTTCGAAGTCCAGAAGAGATGGCCATGGAACTGATACCCTATATCTTGCGCATGTTGTCGCCAGACGTCAAACCTGTTCTCGTCAACACCGGTGCTGCAGGATCAAAATCGTTTGCCACAGCCTCAGTACGAAAAGCCTCAGAGAAAGAGTTGGTAAAGAAGGCTGTCGAAGCCATGGTCGCAACTGGAGTTCGCTTTGAGAAATCCAGAATCGAAACAGAAGAAGTGTCGCACAGGAGTGGAGGCTTCATTTGGCGCATGGAGCCAGCCCTGGACGTCCTAGCCACCTTTGAGACTCTCGCCAGCAAGAAAGACGAAAAAGCGCGCTATGCTGTCCGTAGTGTCCTGGAGCAAGAATGGCGGAAAGAATCTGCGCTTCGGGAACAGGCCAATCGCAAGCGCCGCGGAGGTCAAGACGAGTTTGATGATGAGACAGAGGCAGGAAAGAAGGAGGAGATGACCACCGAAGAGAAGATCGCTGCATTAAATAAGAAGGCTGTCAAGCGTGACTTCTTCGGACGAGTAATACAAGAGACGGATGCGAGCAAGAAGGAGACGAAGAGGCGGCAGGATCTTGGGGAGATGCAGGGAGATGCGGGAAGGATATGGGTATCGTTTCATGAAGGTTTCTCGAACGCAGTCAGGAAACCTGTCACTATTGACGATATTATGCGGGATCTGTAAGCTCGGGGCCCTTGTTTGGATCTTCCCGTTATGATAGGGATTACGAATTTTACACATTGTCCTCTCTGGATCGCTTGCGTTCATGCCATGTACGCCATTGCACCACGATGTGCACACGGCTGTCAACACCTGCCCTATATGGTAATTCTTTTGTTCCTTATAACCGAAGTAGAGAGAATTGGTAATGCAGTAGTACATTATTGATCACAGGGCTAGCCAACTCCACGGGTGCATCCCCACTTTTCCGCCCCATCTTACGTCCGTACAGGCGATCTGGTTGTGACACCGCCTTGTTAGCAGGCCGTCATGCATTGGCAGCCTAGGGACAAAACGATATAATGCCATTTCTTGGCATTTATGTGCAGTTATAGTTTGCGCTCCAACGCCCTTGTCTTTAATTCTAGCCGTTGTGCTGTGTACAGCTCACTGTTCGTGAGCAAAGAGCCTATACCAACCCCACGATGGCCCCACTCTCGCTCTATTTGGATTTCTACTCGTCCTACCTCAAGTGCTCCCTCAACTTCGTCCTCGCCCGACTGTACACACAGAACCCTCCCCAGCGCGATCTCACCGGCCAAACCGCAATTGTAACCGGAGCAAACAGCGGCATTGGACTATGCATCGCCATCCGACTAGCCCGACAAGGCGCAACCGTCTACCTGGCCTGCCGAAACCAAGCAAAAGGCGATGAAGCCGTCGACTACATAAAATCGCAACTGGGCTCCTCGGGCAAAACTGCCAACATCTTCTGCTGGACCCTCGACGTAAGCGACATGTCCAGCGTCCGCACCTTCTGCTCGCGCTGGCGCACCCAAGGCACCCCCATCGACGTCCTCGTGCACAACGCCGGCATCCCCGACGTCACCAGCTCCCAACGCCGCTACGACGAAAAAGGCCTTGACATGATCTACGTAACAAATCTCCTCGGCTCCTTCCTCATGACCTCCCTGCTCGAACCTCTTCTCAGCCCCGCTTCACGGACTGTCTTTACGAGCAGTATAAGCTCCTACCTCGCCCGGGACACCGTCTTGCTCCCGCGCCCGCCCCGACCAGACTACCAAAACAGCAACGCCCTCGCGCGCCTCTGGCACCGCGCCCGCGCCGCCCTGGGTCTCCGCGACAGCGCAGCCCTGGTGTACGGACAGACGAAGGCGCATCAGATTTTACTTGCTACCCTGCTGCAAAACCACTTCGACGCCTCCTACCCCGAGAATAAGAGAACCGTCCATGCCTTCTCGCCCGGCTTCACGCAAAGTCCCCTTTTCACAAAATACGACATGAGTTGGCGGACGCTGCTGTACGATCCCGCGTTTTCGTTTTTGTACTACACCGAGACAGTTGTGGCGACGGAGACGGATGAGGGGGCCAAGACGGGGGCGTGGCTTGCGGCGTGTGGCGGGGAGGAAGGGGTGGAGGGAGGGAATTACTGGGAGTTGATGAAGAGCGAGGTGAGTGTGATTGAGTATTGGAGGGGGAAGATGGGGGAGGAGAAGTTTAAGGGGGTTGCGAGGGGAATTTGGAAGGTGTGGGAGGAGGATGCTGGGTGTGAGTGGGATATCAAGTTTTAATGTCGTATGAGCAAGGATTTTTTTTTCATGAGATTGTATGTAAGAATTTGAAAAGATAATATACGTAAATAGGTTCTTTACATTCGTCAGTATCCTAGCGTGTACGTTTGCTTTCTTCCCCTCCATCTCCTATCCAACAAAATCTACACGTAAATCTTTCTCTTATATCTTCTCAACTATTGCCATGAACTATTCACACTAGCACTCGCCTGACAGCTCGGCGCAGTGTACGACCTGTTAGGATCACTCTCCCAGGTGACGGTTCCTCCACTGTTAATCTTGACAAACTTGTACGAGATGGAGGATCCAGCGGTCAGTGGCACGGTAATGGTCCAGATGGGGTTGCTGGATGTGTAGCTAGCTGCGGACAAGGTAAGGCCGTTGGCGGGAGTCCAGTTACCTAGCTGTGCGGTGTTGCCAGTGATTTTGATGGTATCACCGGGGACGGTGGTGACGCGGTGGGTGAAGGAGACGGAGACGGCGGTGGGACATGCGGTTGATGTGGCGGTGGCGGTGCGGGTGGAGAGGGTAGTGCCAGTGGTGGGGGTAGCGGAGCCGGCGAGGAGGACAACGGGCTCGCCGTTTGTGACGGAGACGCAAATCTGGCCGTTGCTGTCGGCAGAGACGGTGGCGCCATTGCCGTAGACGTTGGTCCAGCGGCCGTTGGCCTTTTGCGTGTTGAAGCAATGCTGGGTGTTGGAGTTGCTGCCAGCGTTGGTGGTGAGGACAATCAGGTTGCCGTTGGCACGGCTCCAGGCGTAGGCTGTGTCAGCAACGTACAGATGGACGTGGTCATTTCCTGCGAGACCACCAGCAGACTTTCGGGCGGCGGTCAGTTTCTTGATAGCTTGGTATAGGTTGGCGTTGGTGTTGAAGCCACTGCGCCACAGATCCTCTCGGTTAGCTGGGTCGTCACCACCAGCGTATCCCTGCTCGGTACCATAGTATAGGATCGGGATACCACGTGCAAGAATGACATAAGCGAGAGCGTTCTTGAGCAGGGTCTGGTCGTTCTTGACGTTCAACCAGCGCTTGTTGTCGTGGTTGTCGAGGAAGGTTCCCAAGGCGGATGGGTCGGGGAAGGTGTTGCTGACAGTGTTCATCATATCTACAAGCGCCTGAGAAGAGCCCTTTTGCTGGTAAAAGTTGTTCATCGGGTAGTAGACTGCGTAGTTGAGGAGACCAGGCATGAGCTTGGCGTACTCGGCAAGGTAGGTTGGGTTTCCGTCGAATACCTCGCCAATGCTGTAGACACCGGTAGCGGCGGAGAAGCCAGGCCAAAAATCCTTTTCAACGTGCTTGACGGTATCGATGCGGACGCCGTCGAAGCTGTACTCCTTTACGAGCCAGTTGACCCAGGTGTTGAGGAGCGTACGCATCTCGCTCTTGGAGGTGTTGATGTCGGGAAGTCCGGCAATCTGGCATACCTCGACACTGTTTTGGTTGTTGTAGTCAATGTTGCAAGCGGTGTGGTATGATGAAGCTTGGTTGAGAGGCTCAGGGCGGTTGTTTGTGATTGCTCCAGGACCCATGTGGTTTGCGACAACGTCGACCATCATGTAGATGCCCTATGGTGAATAAGCAAATGTAGTACAAAGACACTAAATCCGGACATACCTTGGCATGGGCAGCGGCAACCAAGCTCTTCAAGTCGGCAGCAGTGCCGTAGTTTGAGTTGATTGCATACAAGTCCTCGGCCCAGTAGCCATGGTATCCAGCAGCCTTGTCTACAAGTTACATTAGTACTGCTCTTTGTTGGCAGAAGTCGTGATGAACATACTTGAGACGACGGGGGTAATCCAGATGGCATCGAATCCAAGTCCCTTGATGTAGTCGAGCTTAGACTCGAGGCCCTTGAAAGTTCCACCGCAGTAGTTGCCGAGGTTGCTGCAAGCTGAGCCGCCCGTGTCACTGCTGCTGCGGGCAATACGATCCGTCAGGACAAAGTAGATGCTGCGTGACTTCCATGCATTTGTGTCAGCCGCGGAGACGATGGAAGTAATGTAGAAAAAGAGGGCGGTGAAGATCTTGAGCAACAACATCTTGAAGAGAAGGGGTGCTTCCCAAGTCTGATGCTTGAAGGACTCTGATGAGTTGGTTTCGAAAGCAGACGAGGCCGAGGGTGGGATTTATAGACGTTCGGTGAGGGTACGGGGACGAGAATGCCGCTCACGATCTTACGGCAACCCCACAACCCCAGACGAGAATCGAGCGGCGCTGGCGATAATTGCTCGGTAGTTTGGATGTCTATGCGAGATGGGCGCCGACAACGTTTGCATGGATGAGCCAGAAGAGGTTTGGAGGCATGAAGAAGAGGAGCTTGTTCGTCCGGGCCGTCATGAATCCATTCAAGAAGACGTGCCTGGATGATGGGCTTACACAGGAAGATCTGTCGGTCCGAGCCCAGGGCACCGGCGTGAGCCTCGTGGACGAGTGAAACAAGGCCGTGGACTGGAGTTGACGGTGCAAACGCCTATTCGGGCAGCTGAGGAAACGAGATGGTGGACTTGGAGCACACTCGCCCAGTCATCTTGCCCGGTCGCGTGTCGCGTATCCGACGCGCATGGGACTGGTAGCCGACGAGAGGCTATCCAGGTTGGTAGGGGAAATGAAGGGTGTCGCAAGTCGTCATGACGGTGGCGGGACGGTAAGCGAGCTGATGTGCCTTGGGCTAGGGGGCTAACATGGCCATTCCCCCATCCTCCCCAGTGGAGTCCCCGCCTTGGACGGCATAGCAGCGTGTTTTTTTCAATTTAAGGTGCGGGCCGGGCGACGTTCTTTTTGTTCTCATGACCACTGGACCACAGCCTTTACGGCCTCTGGCCTGGTAAGCTTACATTCGCTCCCGACAGCGATCCAATAGCCATCCAGCCGGCCTCGCCAAGCTACGATGGATAAGGAAAGCGGCCGAAGCGTACTACCGTCCTCATGGCTGCTGGTCCTGGAGACGGACATGCGCCGGCACTGCGTTCCTCAAGCAGGCACATACATCTCGCATACGGCAAAATTCCACGAATCTCCGCTCCTGTATGAAAATGCGGAGCCGGACAGACTAATGCATGAATTTACGGCATGGTGCAGACTGCAACTCGCCAGCCTTGACGAAACCACCTAGGACCCCATAAGGACGTGCTACCAGGCAAAAAAATTAATTTGGGGAGACATGTGCCTGCGCCTATGCCGACTTCAATCCAATGAAAGTCTCTTCAACCACGGCATCCATGCGAGCCATCACATGGCGTCTGGAATGGGAAACGAAACATGGGCATATCCAAAGAAATGACTTGGAGTTGATCATCTTGAAGGACCAAGGGCGAGCTTATAGACAGCCAGCGTAGAATGACCTTGTGATTGTATTTATGTGTCGTGCCATCCGTTCACTTAAGTCTTGATCACACACAACTTTGTTCTTCTCAAACACATCTTTCAAGAGAACATCTTCTGTGACCATGTTGTCCAAGATCTTACTACCAGTTCTTGCACTTGCAGCCAGTGCCAATGCGCATGGCTACCTCACTTCCCCCATGAGCCGAACAGGGCTGAATGCACAGGTAAATATTCCCTCAACAGATCCGAACATAGCCACCAAATAGGGTTTTCTCACACTTCACAGTCTGGGGCTGACACGTGCCCCGAATGCACAATCCTGGAGCCGGTAACAGCATGGCCTGACCTTGACGCCGCAGCCGTCGGCCGCTCGGGTCCTTGCGGGTACAACGCTCGTGTGTCCGTTGACTACAACCAGCCCGGGCCTCGCTGGGGTTCTGAGCCCGTCATTACCTACAAGGCTGGGGATGTCGTCGATGTACAGTGGTGCGTAGATGCTAACGGTGACCACGGTGGCATGTTCACCTACCGCATCTGTCAAAACCAAGCTCTTGTCGACAAGCTCTTGACCCCTGGATACCTCCCTACTGAAGCAGAGAAGCAAGCAGCAGAGGATTGCTTCGAAGCTGGAGAGTTGAAGTGCACAGATGTCCCTGGACAGACGTGCGGATTCAACTCTGACTGCCAGCAGGGCCAGGCCTGCTGGAGGAATGACTGGTTCACATGTAAGTGAATCCTGATCTTGTCAACCAGTGACATGAACTGACACAAGACAGGCGGTGGCTTCAACGACAACACAAAGTGCAGAAGCGTTGACAACGCCCCCCTAAACTCCTGCTACACCAGCATCGCAGGCGGCTACACCGTCAGCTCAAAGATCAAAATCCCAAACTACACAAGCAACCACACCCTCCTCTCCTTCAAATGGAACTCCTTCCAAACCCCCCAGGTCTACCTAACCTGCGCCGACATCAAGATCACAGGAAGCGGCTCCGGCACCTCCCAACCCCCAACCTCTAGCAAACCCCCCACATCCTCCTCCAAGCCCACCTCAACCTCAACTTCAACTTCAGCTCCCGCTGCAACCCCCACCGCCTGCGCCACCCCCGTCTCCACCGTCGCCGTAACCTTCAACTCCAAAACCACCACCTCCTTCGGCCAAACCGTCAAACTCGCAGGCTCTATCTCCCAGCTCGGCGCCTGGAACACCGCAAACGCCCCCGCGCTGTCCGCAGCCCAGTACACGTCGTCGAACCCGTTGTGGACAACCACCATCAACCTACCTGCAGGCACGAGCTTTGAATACAAATACATCAAGGTTGAAAGCAGTGGCACGGTGACGTACGAGAGTGGTGCGAACAGACAGTACACTGTACCCAAGGGGTGTGCGCGTGCTGTTACTGTTGAAGGGGCTTGGAAATAAGATCTTTCTCTGATTTATACAAAGAGGATATAAGGAGTTATGTAGAAATGAATGGAATGAACTGAATGAATGTCTATGAGATGTTGCGTGTGGCTTGCGTGGTTAGGAGGGACGTGATGCGGGGATCCCTATTGACTGACATGTGAAAGTCTGATTTTGGAATGTAAGAAGATGCAGCGTTGCAGATGCGTCTGGAAAACGCGCTAGAAGGAATGTACCCCACAGCAGGGAAACATTGGATAGGGGAGGGGGAGGCGCTAAGGGGAGGTGCTGCTATTCGTCTGGTATGTGCCAAGGTATTCGATGGTCCTTTTTTGGGGTTAGCGCTGTTGGGAAGGGTGGGGGGTGGGGGGTTTCTTGCTACAGGTAACATGGTGCATAGAGAAGGACAATTTTATTTCCATTTCTTGGATTGATAGAGCGAAAAGAAGGAGGTGCGGCTAAGACTGCATATCTACCCAATGGTAGTGTGAGTTGTTCGTACGAGATTTTCTTAATTCTTTGATTCCAATACTTCCATCTTCATTCTACCTCTATCAGTACATCCTCCCCCACCACCACTTCACACATACCCACTCACACGTTTTTTATTCTATCAACCCACCATTCCCACAGTCCCATACTATATCACGTCATCTACACACCACTCCTTATCACTCGTACAATATCCCAATTGATTCTCTGCATCACTAGTTCCAGGAAGCTACGCGTGGTCAGTTGTGATTGTAGCATTGCTGCATAGCCTGAGTATTAGGTCTGTTGAGGATGTGGTGGATACGTACGCACGCAGAGACTGAGAAGGTAAAGAAGGGAATACGTGGTTGAGGTTTTGTGATGCGAAAGGCGTAGATAGGTTAATTTTTTCCATCTTCCTGCAGCAATCGCCGTCCCGACAGTGTTGTTTTAGTGTGGTTGAGATGTCGAGAGCCTAGTGTGAATAGAACGGTGTACGGAGCGCAACGGTGTGTTCGATAGACGTAAGACCCTCCTTTGGGCTTTGCGAGTACAAGCGTTGGAGTCATGCAGAGTGTGAGGGCTTCTCTGTATCAAGTTGTGCTTGAGCTGAGCCAGAAGTAGAGATTGCCTTATGGCTTCTTTTTTTGGTAGTAGAAGGTTTTCTGTATGCTTGAATTTTGTGGTGCAGGTTGCGGATACGTAATGCTGGTGCATTCGCTTGGCTTACTGATGTTTTTTTGTGGTGTGGATATGACTCTATTACTGCCATGCTGTCTGCCCATAACTAGTAGTTCAATCATATCCATCGACCACATCTTGGTAGCTATCCCTTTCCTTTTGAAATTACATATCTTTCAACCTATCAAGCGCCCTTCCAATCTCCGGTAGTATAGTACTGGCGAGTTCAGCGAATCCCGCTGCCATTTGTCAGCATGCATCAAATAAGAGCACAAAGGCTTAGGCCTGGTACCATCTGCGGTTCTATCCAATGCAATTGTATGCATCACTCCGTAAAGATACAGCGTCGCCTAACTTGTATTTGCAGCAGTCTTTTAGGGAAGCTGTTGGGGGGTAACCAGGCGGAGGCTGTCAGGCGAGGAGTCTGAAGATTAGGAAATTAGCAACGACCAGGCACCAGACGATGGACTATTACCAAGGGCAAAGTGTTGGGTATCATGAAAGTATTTCAATGCAAGTCTGTCCGGATGCTCAGGAAGGGCTGCCGACGAGGTTTTAGCGAGGCAGCTGCTAGCCTGTACAGCAAAGCCAACTTCTGTAGGAATCAATACATAAGTTTGCCCAGGATCACCGACTCGAATAGAAACTTGTTTCGTGGCGAGCTTGCCGTCTGACTCGAGATTAGTGAACTTGCCCGTCGCAATATGACAAGTTCTCGTAGTTGCGACATAGTAAAATGGCCCGACTGCAGCACGAAAGAGCCTGGGACCAGAGAGATTGTGTAATGGCTGTACATGCAGCTCGTGTATTTGCGGTCCAAAGTCTAGCAAACACGGAGAGCGACGGCATTTTCGGCTAGTCGCTGTGATAAAGGTTCATGTAAGTAAGATGAGAATTGATCAAAGTGTGGAGCAAATACTGGTCGACCCAAGTGTTTGCTGACTTAATTCGGTTAGCATGAGCTCGGCTTAGTTTTCGTGTATTCATTCTTCGATTAATTATCATCATCATACATCTAGCGTTATAACTGCACGTTAAACTTCTCTCTCTGTTGTTCCTTCTGATATGCATGTAATGCTTAATATGATACTTGATAAATGAAAATTTCTATCAAACTTACAGGCAGCAGCTTTACTCCTTCATGACATCCTCAGCGACCACGACACTGTCACCTGGAATAATTCAATATTTCGCCAATCATACTTCCACTGCATCCTGCCGAAACAACTAGGTACGTCCTTTGATCCCAACCTGCCAGGCTGTCCCGAATCCAGATGTTTCACCAAGAGGTAGAACATCCTTAGAAAGGATGTGACGATCTGAATACATGGCATACAGACATCCACAGCAGCAAGAGTCTCCTTCGGCATGTTTTTCTTATGAAACTGCCAGAAATTATATTTCCAAACTACACTGATGGGGAGTGACGACAGCGGACCCAGTTGAGAGTGTGTGCTCGCAAAAGCGCATGGCTGGGTTCAAGACAGTTAATGAGGCAGTCATGCAATGTAAACTAAACAAAGAAAGTAGATGCAGCAGAAAGAGACTCTCAAGCTGACAAAGGACTTCCCTCAAAGATCCAAAAGAAGCTGGGGCTTGCGACGAGATCAGCTCTATTGTCACGATACTCTGAATTGAGGCTTAGGAAGGTCAACTTTTGGGCCAATGAAGCTACAGTTGCGTGTATAGAATATATAGTCCTATCCGTACCTTGAGTAACTCCTCAAGGATTCGTCTCAATTCACTCTAACTAATATATCTTGTGCCTATCTACGAAAACACCACACATCTACTCACTTTGATCCACCCATTTTACTCTACGATATCCTATGTAATAAATTGCTTTCCGGAGTTTGTGGCAAGATAGATCATCTCGCTCAAAAGATCAAGGTAAGATCCGCAATTGAAGGGGAGAGAAATGGCTTAATGGCAATCACTGGTATTAAGTTGATTGGAGAAGGTAACCTATCTGCAACGAAAAGCAATTCTAACACATACCCACAGCCCAATTACGTCCTGCTACACCATAGTTTACTTCTTAGTCATGATTTGACGATATAACAGTGGATCAGCTCTCGGATTGGTTGAAATGATAAGTATCGCGCAGGTGCATACTACTTGCTGAGTTCGATTGGTACGTATTATTCTTTTGCTTCTGAACTAGTCTGAAGCGAGCTTAGCCTACGTACGTAAGTGTGAGCTTATCCTATATATAACTAGTATATATATGCATGTATACTTACATGTCTGAATTACTCCAGTCTTACACAGGGCAATGATCTACTGCAAAGATCACATGAGCTGTCGTTGCCAGGTGCTACTTTTCTTCGCATTTGGGTTATATTTATAGTTGTAGAGTAATGGCGCTGTGAAGAAGTGAGGAGACAGAATCCTGGGGCAGAGCAAAACGCGCTAACTGCCGGCGCCGGCTCGCCACGCGGCAAGTCTCCAGGTCACAGCCATTCGCCAACACGACGACACTAGCAAGCTTGTGCGAATCCTTCGCTCGAAACAAGGGCCGACGTGTAAAATGTGGGCAGCTTCGAGGCCTTTTTGGAACTACTACTTATCGATTCTCGCGAGTCCAGAACCGTGGTATGTATTGACCAGAGCCTTTCGTGTTTCGTGTAGTTTGAAAGCGGGGATAGCCTAGTACGTACCATTGCACTACATGGGGAAAGCTGAAGTCTCCACGTATGCACAGTAAGCTGACGGAGGCGGTACCGCACGAAGAAGAAGCAAATCCAATGGCTACAATCTCGTTGTTGAACTAGACCATCAAATAGCCTTTCCTTCTATGGGAATAGTCGATCGGCCCCCAAACGCCCCGTAACAGCGCTACAAATCAGCCCATAGTTTCTGGTTTTATTGTATTGGCCAGCCACAGAAGACGTCGAACGTAATGATGAGCTGGGGGGTTTTCCGCATCTAGATTAGAAGAGGCGCAAAAAGGATCCAATGCTGGAGGTGGCGTTCGAGGTCTTTTTTTGGCGACGTTGTTGGTGAACGGACAAAGGAGCAATCCAGTAGCTGGCAGAAATCTTGCACGTATTTTTCAACGACCAATTCACCATTGTTTGAGGGCCTCCCAGAAACACTGCATTTGTTCGCTTCGCAATAGCGACAGGAATAGTAGAAACCCCGGCAGTAAACAAGCTACCACTGCCAAGCCCCCCACAGCCCCTCTTCCAGAACACGAATATGTATATGCAGCCTCAGCCTTCGTTCCCATTTCGGCTTCTCTAGATCTCGCGGCTGAGAGTCTAGTTCGCCTATCGGCACTGTCGTCCCAGCACGCCTCTCTATTTTGAGGCAAAACTGTTTAGCCGGCCCCGCGTAATTGGACAGCACCAACGGACATGGTGCAGCCTCATAAGCTGCATATATTGGCCGACGTACACGATCGTCAACTCAGATTGGGTATTAGAGAGAAAACCCCCCTCTTCCGCCCAGCCTTCGCTGCACTGCTTTCTTCCCTTTTCTAAACATAACAAAAGTTCTACCAAACAACTGCGTCGCATAAAACACAGTAGTCTTGGCCCATCCGACAACATCCGGTCTTTACCCTCTTCACATCCCAGTCCGTGTCGACGTATTACTCGAAAATGCATCTCCCAACTTTCCTCACGACGCTGCTCTTCACCACTGCCGCCCTTGCATCGCCATATGCGTGGGCCGAGCCTCAAGCTAATGTCCCGTCCAACAACGGCCGAAAACCCAATCGCACCCACCGACACGAAAAGACGCCGACGTTCAAGGAGCCATGCAAATGCGCCGACCCCATTGTGCCTATGGATCTGCTTAACGAGAACGAGAAGTGCATGATCAAGTATGCTGCGCGCATGGGATGCTACATGAGCTCCAAGGGTGGCTGCCCTTCACCACCTCCATCTGTAAGTTTGCGAACTCGTGAGATGGGAGTACCTATGAGTTTGTGCTGACTAGAAGTAGTGTGGTCTCGGCCCTTTAAGCGGCATTCCTTCGCTATAGTGTGTTGACGAGCCCGATGCAGGTGTAAGATGGCTGCTGTATCATCAAATTGGCTTCTACATGTCGCGTTTTTTTTGTACAAAGTGCATAATGGCAGGTATGGAAAGGATATATACGAAATTAAATGAATTGTATTAGGGTTTTGTTGTAGCACAAGGAGTGAGTGTGATGCTGCTGCTGTTGACTACCTGCTTAGCTCGAACTTTGCCATTACCTAGATCGTCAAGAGCGATGGGTGTTACTTCCCCATGATTCTCTGCAAGGGCTGATCAAACAGCCAACTGGGGTATGGCATTCCTCACTCCGTAGCCTTTTCTTTTCCCACACGTCTTCCTATTTTCATCTCCATCTCAACCACTTCCTTGCCCTGACGTCCCCTCCTTCATCACATCCCTACACCAACCTTCATCAACACCTACTCCACCCTCTTCCTCTTGCCTCTCCCCTCCGCACCCCCTTCCATACATATCTTCTCCGCCTTCGCCATCCTCGACAACCTCAACCGCTCCCTCTTCAACGCATCTGCATGCCTGCCCGTAACATCTTTGTCAGGACATCCAGCCTCACCAGGTTCAATCAACGACTCGATACCCACTTCCTTCAACAAACCGGGAACCTCACTCAGCAGAATGCGATGACGCTCATTCTCCCTGCACCAAAGAATCGCCTTAGTCAACGGCCCAGCATCCACACCTGAAGGAAGCAACTGCAGACCGTGCGCAAGAGCAAGAAGTGGGTAGTCGATTTTGCCCCAGACATCGTAGGTCCAGCCCTCAGCCGTATAACTAGCAACAACTTCTGTGCTATCGGGTTTAGTCGACGAGACCGGCACGGGAACAAGCGTATCTCCATCGCCTTCCTCTGTTTCCGTTTCGTCCGTAGCTCCGCGCTTGACGACATCCCTCTCCCGCGCATTCTTAGCCGCACTATTAATAGTACCAGATTTGGGTACGGTATCGCCGTCCAGTGCACGCGTCATGCTGAGTACTTTGCAAACAAAACTCGCAGGGATGCCCGCACGTGCTAGGCGGTCTGCTGCGTGACCCCAGTAGTAGTGCTGTGGGAAGTAGGATAGCAGCTCCATGATTGTAAATTCCGTATCGCCTAGCAGTGTGATGTCAACGTTTACGGGTGTAGCGACGCTCTTGAAGGGACAGAATAGATTGACAGTTGGGCTGGTGGGGTAGTGGTCTTGGTTCTGGAGGATGGGGTTGAGCTCAGTTGACAATGGTGAGGTAGAGGGCTCTGCTTCGAGGGCTAGCATCATGAGCTCGGGGATTGGAGACTTGAGTTTGCGGTTTGAGCGGAGAGCTCCAGTACCGCGTCGGGTCTTTCCTGGTGTGAGAGTAAAGTCGGCAGTTGGATCGGTTTCTTTTGAGGCAAGCCAACGCCAGCCGTCTGCGAGGTCGATGATCATGTCCGGGCAGTCTCGCGCCTCACGCCACGGGTGAGAAATCTCCAGGCTGAATACATTGAAAGTACCAGAACGGATCAGGCTATCAGTCCTATTGCTCGACGCGGGTCCTGAGATAGCTGGTGCATGGAAGTTCAACTGGCCCTCCCACGGCAACGTCCAGTCGACGCCGTCAAAGTCGAACACTTCTGCGTCTGATCCGTCGCTCAACTTGAGCATATCTGGGAGCAAGCCATACTCTGGGTGAAGCTCTCCGCCCGGTACGTACTTGTGTAGGCCCGCTTGACGCAGCTCTTCGCACGTGAGAGGCAATGGTCCGATAGGAGTCAGCTTGAACGCCTGACGGTAAGGATCGAAGACAATAGGGAGAAGACCAGACCATGAGACATGCTTCCAATTCATAGGCAGTGTGAGCTTCGGCACGCGAGTGATATCCGGCAAGCCATCGACAACGGGTACGAATGGTTGGTGAAATATCAGCCGCGGATCTAGAACTGGGTATGGATAGGACGGATGCGTGCTCCCGCCAGGCGGGTACTGTAGTTGCCAGGACAATGAGTGCACAGTCGGAAGTCCCTCGAGCGGTATGGGATCAGAACTGCAAGCTACAATGCTGAATTCGGGTTGAGCGGGGGGTTCGTCGTCTACGGGGCGCTTGCGGGTGGCACGTGGAGTGGGTGTAGCAGGTGTAGACGGCTTGATATCGACTGCGCAAACGAATCATCAGTACGTATCTAAAGAGTTTAGTAGGGCAGTTAACTTACACAAGGATGGCCGCGGTCTGCGCAGTCTGGCACTACGGCGCATCGGCGTGGGACTCGAAGCTTCCTCAAACTCGCGCGCAAGTGCCGCATCACGCTCTACCATTTCGACATCACCATCGTTCTTGTTCTCTCTGCCAGGGATATCGCGATCGGAAGTTTCTCCAACTGAAAAGCCATTCGGAGCTCCAGCTGTACCGGCATCGCTCATCTCGACGTCCAAATGCACAGTGTCCGTCTTCGAACCATCACCCATGAAGCCAGAGGTCTGCGGTGAGAGCAATCCATGCCAGGACACCGTCGTACGACTCTTAGTAGGAGTCTTTGGCTCATCCACTTGATCTTCTGCAACGAAGCAATCTTGAGTCTCGATACCATAGTGGTATTCAGGAAGCTGTTCTGGCTCGGTGGTGTATGAGTAGTACATGCTTTCAGGCGAGTTGGTGTTGTCTCGTATGTTTGTCAGCCCTGGTGTCTCTCAGATTGCCGTATTCTGGATGTGCTTACTTGAAATCATGTACACCTCCTGGGCTGGTGACGGCGTTCGATAAGGCCCGCCCATGCTGTCTTCTGGTGTTGTTAGATCTTGCAGTACAGAGTCTGGACGGGTTGAGTTGCTTGGACTGCGTTGCATGCGGGGCGACTTAAGGTTGAGAGTCTCCTGGCATTGATTTGCAGTGATGACGATATCGATGACAAGTGAGGTTTACGATGGGCGGTGATCTGGTGACGCCCAACGATGAGATTGAGGGTATGAAGATGGCGCGGCTACTCTCACTCACATCACTGACGTTAGTGTCATGCAAGTCTAATTGAAGCCAACTTCTCACATCAACGCTTGAGATCAAGCATGAACTTTCAACACGGTATAAGAAGAAATGTCACGAAAAGAAAACTAAAGATGATAAGAATTAGCATTGGTTGCAGCAGCAACGCAGATGCATCATTAATTCATTACACATATCCACGATAGATCAATCGGCAATACGCAATGCTCGCACGCCAGAGCAGTCCCATCTCCTACCCAGCTTTACCACGTACTAGTCCCAATCGCCGGGCCCGCACCGTCGAAAAACGGTTCATCCAGGAGAGCCAGCAGGACCTGCTGTCCCACCCACTGTTCCTCAACAGCAGGCCTGATCCTCTCCGGCGGCAGCACAAACCCAAAGTCACCGGTATCAGGCAACTCGATGGTGAACGAGAACTTGGCACGACCAATCGTGTACACATGATCAATCGACGCACCAGTCGTAGGGTACAAAGTAGCTCCGCTAGGACCAAACAGGTACGTAGTATCGTTCTTTGACGAATCGCGAATGTATTCGCTCATCAACGAGGCCGTCTTGGTCCACATACCGAGTTCGGGTGCGTAGAGCGTTTCTTTGTGACCGAAGGGGAAGAGGATGAGCTGCGAGTAGCTGTGCCAGTCAATGTAGAGCGTGATACCTTGCTCATCACGGACTTTGCGGATGAAATTGTCCATCCCTTCGTTTTCGGGGGCGTCGCGCGGCTTTTCGCCGCGGTAGACTTGTTGGCAGGCGTCTGGGGAGGCGCCGCGGGGGTCGGCGTCCCAGTTTGTTTCCCAGTTGCGGTTGATCTTTGTAGATATGGTTAGTGGGATTGGAATGGAAATTGGGTGGGGTTGAGGGGGTCCTTACATCACGGCCGAAGCAGGATTGGTCTTGGTTGGCGGGTGGGGGCTGGCGGTTCTTGCGCCAGAGACGGTTGTCAGTCTGCGAGAAGACGAAACCTGTCACGTGTGAGTGAATTGATCAAGACAATGCAGGGATTCGTGGTTTACCATCGGGATTGACAAAAGGAAAGATGTAGAAGTCGTATTTGTCCAAGATTGCCTTTGTGTCGTTGTCTCCGGCCTTGTACCCATTGATGAGCTGCTTTGTGATGTACTCAATAGTCTATGAAGTGTTAGTTATGAAATGAGAACTGTGATTTTGAGTTTACTGACGGGAGCGACGATCCATTCACGGGCGTGTACAGTGCCGTGGTAGATGACTGCGGGCTTTCCAGGGCCACCTGCTCCCCAGAGATGCACACCGAACAAGTCACGTCCCTCGTAAGACTTTCCGCTACTCGTCCAGTTTGACTGCTCGGGGAAAGTGGCCTGGAGATCCTTCCACCAAGTGACGTGCTTGAGTGATGTTAGCATGATTCTTTCTTCGGGATTGGTAAACGTGAACTTACGTCTTCATAAGGGTGGTAGCTGTCAAACCAAGCATCATCAGAGCCGTTTGATTGCCTCTTCCAAACGCTGTTGACTTGACGCTCGCGAGCAATGGAGTAGGCCAAGTCCTGGTGCAGAGTTCGCGACTTCAGCCCAAGGCGGTTGAAGGCATCGAGTTGCTCTGGTGCAATGAGCACATCCCAGGAACCCCGAGCTTCGTTGAGTGTCTCGTGAGGAATCGACGACATTGCACGCTTTGCCAACACGCCCTCTTGACCAACGGCCCGGATGCGGTGGACCTGGTAGCCATCGTAGGTAACTGGCTGCGAGCTGCGAATAGTCGCGCCAGCAGCAAGCGACAGCCAGGCAAGGTTGAATACAAACTTCATGATGACCTGGCGAGCAACCAACGGGGCGGGTGTGAGAGGGAAGTTTATAACTTTTGTCAGAACCTCACTTTATAGCCCTTTCACTATGCGTTTGCTTGGCGAGAACGCAGTTCATGGAAGCCTGGGTGAGCAGGAACCATGTCGTCTTCAGGCAACCAATGCCAGCATCAGTCATATGTACTACAGGCGCATGGTGACATTATACATGTCGGCTGGATACACGGGATAGTCGTGGATAAGAAGCAATCCGGTAATATCCCAAGTCGTTAGCATTCTGACCTGCCAGTTGCGTTCTAGGCATTGCATGGCGTTGCTGGGCATAAGAGCGGCAACGTCATCAACCCATGCACGTTCGCCATGTCAGATGGTCCCGCACATTGGTACGGCGGACTCTCCTTGTTCCTACCCAAATTCTTTGTTCTTGTATTGGGTGTTCTGAATAAGGGTTCTTATTGGGGCTGAATAGTGAACGCTAGGGCGACTTGCCACAGTCTAATCATGGGAGTAAGTGCCGACGTTGTGCACAAAGGCAACAACCAGAATGATGAAAAATTCCGCAAGCGTGGGGATATACGAGTTCAGCGAGAAGGGTATAAAGAAGGATTTCCAATGCAGCTATTGTTGAGGCTGTGGCGGTTGGACATGCGGGGAACCCACGAAAACATGCGCAACCGTTGATACGGTAGACGACCAGGGCCCTGTTCGGTTACGTATCCGTTTTCCGTCTGCCAAACCTAACCCCAGCTCCATCTAGAAAATGCAGATGGAAAGCTTGTTCGGTTGCGCGATTTGCAGCTACGTTCTGCGTTCTATTTACCAAATTCGGGCTCCATTTCGAAAACAAGACTCATAGCGCTAGCGTGTTCGGTTATATGCGCATTGTAAAGCTACAGAATGGAGCTTTAGACCTCTTGACATCTAACTCTAGCTAAAAACTATATTTTGTTACCAGATCTGGTGACTCGGCTCACCACGTGGACATCACGTGACACTTGACTTAACATAATATAGAGCTCCAACCGGATAGCCCTTCCATTTCATATCCCAGTTCAGAAAGGCTCGGCTGCGAGAGTAAGCAGCTAACACTCCCTATCGAAGCTTTAACCCCAAGACGGGAACAAATTGGAGAAGAAAAACAGGGCTGAACTGAACAGGCCTTAGCCGTCTTCGCCCCAGCCAAGTCCCGACAAGAAACATGTCCCATCATACACCTCACTGCCCTTCTTCCTTAATTTCACCATCATCTTAAGCGCAAATCTCCAATGGGAATAGATTGTGAAACGGAGTTTCTGAATTATTGCCGAACATGGCTGCCGGCGCCCCGGATTCGAATAAAGCACATCCCTGGCCGTTTGTTTAGTGTTATTTCATTAATCGGCTGACGCAAAGCTAAGACCACAACTGGGCACAACAGGCCGAATACAATCAAACGACCTGTGAAAGCGATTCTTATAAGGTCACTCTCATGGCAATGGCCATTAAAGTGCGGGCTCTGCCTGCTGGTGCGAAGCGTGTATCCCTATCAAGCCGCCAGCTGCTGTTGCAAAAACATATCGATGAATGTATGTTCTCTCTACCAATACTAATGAGTATGCAGGTTTCTCGCAAGTCACTCCAGTTTGACTGGAGTGCTACACCACCTCGAACATTGTTCACGTAACAGACTCTTTATCATATACCATTCTTTCCATCCAACACACAATGCCATTGCTCTTCGGTGAGGTGTCGCAATCACCGCTAGAGGTTCACTTTCACTTCACAGTGGCGAGTTCACCGATAAATCTGTGAACCCGGGGGCTCAATACATTGTTAGGCAGTAGGCTTCATTTCTATAAAAAAACAGAGTTTTTTTATCCCATAAACACTCCAATACCATTGCACTCACACAACTCCCACAGAGTAGCCAGTCAACGCCCAGCTACTCACAATGGATTCTCTTCCAGAACAATTCACTCCCGACGCTTTTTCGCGTACAGATGTCCAGGACATGTTAGATGACGCACAGATCGACGCTGGATATCTATATACAAATATTCCGTTTTTGCGAGACCAGCTCCAGCATCTCCTTTGGGAAGCCATTGGAGAGAGCAATGGCCGCCATGTTGACCCAATGGAACTACTACATCGCACACTGTTCAATGAGCGGACTATCCTAGATGCTTACAACAAGCATCGATTGGGAAATGCTGTGACTCCCTTCAATGCGCGGGTTCTTGATCCAGAGAACGCTGTAGAATACATTGCAGAAGAGAACATACCTGAGGTGCTTGGATGGTTTCCACTGCGAGCCACAGTATCGAAGCGCGACGTAGACATCCAGGCACTGCCCATTTACCAAGTCGGACAAACTACAAAAGCTGACCAGAGATACACGATGGAGCGCAGCTCATCAGAGACGTTGACACTGTCCAATCGCACTCCGCAGAAGACAGCTAACAGCGAGTCATCAACCACATGGACACCATCCACATGCTCTGTATCCCTCAACTACAACAAGCTCCGGAACGCGCCATCTCCCTGGCTCCCATTCCCCTCAGGCAACCTAACCATGGCAGAAGTCACAGCCTTCCTCCCCCAATCCATCAAGTCCTTCGACATCATCGACCGCTTCATCTCCAACGGCGCCCTAGCTATGACCCTCGCAAGCATGATAAACCACTACCGCGTCATGCCCGCCGGCCCCATCGAAAACAACACCATCTACCGCATGATGAAGGGCCAAATGAACATCCGCGCGAAAACCGATCCATCCTACAAAGCCTGGACCGTCACCAAACACGCCGACATCAAGAAACCCTCCACCTTCAACCCGTCCAGCGTCAGTGTATCGAACTTCCACACCCCAGGGAATCTGATGTCTTCTCCACAGTCTCCCCAGAAAATCTTATTCCGCGACTTGACCACTGGCGTTAAGGTCATGCCTTCCGGTCCCGACGCCCTGGATCTAACACGCTGTATCCAGTACTGCGTCGACCATGAAGAAGAAGATTGGTTCTACCCCACTGACTTCGCAGCCCTCATCCAGCACATCGGTGGCTCCGCCCCAGTACATCGCGAACACAGTGACGCCGCGGCTATCGCTAGACACTCTGCTAGGCTGAAGCTGACAAAGGCGCGGCGTGCTCCACTTGGGCGTGGTAGTCATGCTCGCACAGTTAAGCAGAAGAAAGCTGTACTTGAGGAGGAGTCTGAAGAAGAAGAAGAAGAAGAAGAAGAAGAAGAAGAAGAAGAAGAGTCGGTGGAATACACCTCTTCCCCGTCCTCCTTCTCCTCCAAAGATGCAGATGCAGATGCAGATGGAGATGGTAATGGCGATACCATCGACGTCCCCACACCCACCCCTTCCCACACAAAGCGCAAAACCGCCACTTCATCCTCAGACGCATCGTCGCCGCCATCACCAAAGTGTTACCGGAAAACCGCCACGCGGTCTCGCGCCCCCAAGCCAGTAGAGGAAGAAGAGCAAGAGCAAAGTGATAGCGATGTCTATGTAGGCCCGAAGACGAAGACGAGGAAAACGGCAAGTGTGGCGACGAGGAGTTCGGGACGGACGAAAAAGTTTGGGGGGTCTTATTGTGTTGGTTGAGCGTACGATCAATCAACGTTGGGCCCCATTTTTTAGCGAGATTAGGAGAGAGAAAACAAGGAGAGCAGGTATACTGATGGCGTTTGGTTTGGAGCAACGCATGGGGCTCTGGGTTATTGGCGTTGCTTGATTATTTATTTATTATAGTGATACCCCCCCCCCTCCCCCCAAATTCCATACTCTTTCATAGTTCTACTTTTAGATACTCGAATAAAAAAAACTTCTATTCTGCATCTCCCATCCATCCTCTTTCCCCTTCCCCCAATATCCCTTGCATCCTCCAAGCAAGATAAAACAACCTAACTAGGCACCCCCTCATACTCCCACCCCCCAACCAACCTCCTCTTCCTGCCCCTAACATTCTCCCTCCGATTCGCCGCACACTTGACGAAAAACGTCAGTGCAGCAAGCACGAAGATGACAATCGCCGCCACTGTCGGCACGACCACGATCCGTGTGCGATCGGTATCCGTACTCGGGAGATACGGACACGTGGAGTTGCGGCCCTCGACCCAGCAGTCGGGCGTGTTGATGCTGTTCAGATTGATGTAGACGACGTCGTCATCGGGGCTGGCAGCTAAGATGGAGTACAGATGCGCGTTTTCGAGTGCGGTGTGGGGCACGCTGAAGCGGGAGGGGGGATTGCAGAGGGGTTCTGCGGTTTCGTAAGGGGAAGTGGTGGTGGAGAGGCGCCAGGTATAAGGGGAAGAAGGGTCGTGGCAGGCGACGCGGTGGGGTTCGCGGCAGTCTGTTGTGCGCCAGCGGCTGGGGTGCTGGGATTTTTTCATGACGACGCAGCGGTTTAGGCTGTTGGTGTCATCGTTTTGGGTTGCGTTGAGGGGTTCGCCGGGGGCGAAGGACCAGAGGGTTGAGTGGACGAAGGCGGCGTAGGGGAGGGGGTTGCGGTTTGCGGGGGTGCTGGCGAGGGTTTGGTTGAGGAAAGGGGATATGCCGCAGCGGGTGAGGTTAGCGATGGAGGGGATGGCGAGGGAGAGGTCCGGGGTTGCGGGTAGGTCGAGTTGCGGGGCGGTGGATAGGGCCCAAGAGGCGTTTGGTGTCGTGATGCTGGTGGAGGAGGGGTCGAAGAGACAGCCGGATGTTACGCTGCCGTCTGAGTCGACGGAGATGGAGATTTGGTTGGAAAGTGTGCCTGCGGGGAAGATGTAGCCAGCGTCGGCGGTTGTATTATACTCGCGCATTTGAGAGTCGATGATACCATAGCTGGCGACCAGGCGGAACAGCTTTTTGAACTCCATGTAAGCTTCTGTTGGCCATCCACTATCCGTATATAGCTGGCCCTCGGTGTTGGTCAACCCCTCGTAGTATCCATGTACTGGCTGATTGTTCCACTCAACATCATACCAAGAATTGTTCAGATTCGCTCGCTGGTCAGCCAGCGTGGTGGGCTTATACATCTCATCCGAGAGATTTCCTCGCAGTATATCGCTAAGGAGCTGTCCTTGTCCGGGTAGTTGACCTTGAGAAAGGCGAGGAGCATCGGCATTGGGGTTGGCAATCGAGGATGCGGCATGTACATTGAACGAAAACAGGACTAGAGCAGCGCCAGTAGTAGTGGAGGTTGCATCTAGGAAATCTTCCAATATCCCTGTGAGCAGATCTAATGTCGTGAGAGAAGTGCAATTATAGTTGCCAACTTGCAAGATTGGGGGCCCATCTGGACTCGGATAGTCGATGATAGTAGGAGTCGCTGCACTGGTTGGTGCCGAAGACACTGAAGAAGCAGAGGCAGATACAACAGATGGAGATGCTACTGCTGACGACGAACCTACAGCTAATGATGCTGATGTCGCCGTCTCTTGGCGTCTCTGTGCCCCCGGAGGGAGAGGCACTGTTGACATTGGTATTGAAGCCATCACAGTATCACTGGACTGCACTACCATCTGACTCGTCCTCAGCGGCGCCCCAGCATCATTCGCGTCACCCCCATTCGCTCGAGGAAGCTCCACAGGACACAAGCTCCATACTTGACGTAGAGGATCCCAATAGGTATCCACGGTGAACCTGCGAAACCCCACTGCAAGCAAATTAGAAAAGCACCTTTTAAAAGCAAAATGCTCAAACTGATTCTCAGGAAAGCACGCGGCTGTCAGCGAAACTCCTGGCACAGTCTGGAAATTGATAGGAACGCGGAGTCCAACATCGCGTTGAGCCTAATTTGTATCACCAGTTAGCTGCAAATCACCTTATCCCCCCCCGCCAGTCTAGCATTTTCGCCGTGCACGTTGTAATCCGAAACAAGTTGGTTGGATATTCCACGCATATGCCTCATTGAATTTGGGGAAGGAGGGGGGGGGGCGGTTATCAATCCAGCCCAAATACAGCACACCATCTACAAAAACTCACCCTAAACGTCTCACTCCATGGCTGAATCCACCGGGTATCTACAGCACTCTGATCAGGGTCATACAGCCCCTTAGCCGACATGCCTGCCAGCAGCTGCAGCCATCAACAAAATGCGCGATGCGTTGCACAGCTTATTGCAGCGTCCAGCTGCTCCGGCGAAGCCGAAGAAAGCCTGCAGCAAGGGGGGCGTACGCGACGAAAGCAGTAAGATATACCACTCTTTAAATAGCTCTTAGCCTTGTACGACGTAGCAATGCTTTTGTACGCAAGATTGCAACGTGGTGATTGTGTTTATTTTGATGATATAGATATGTAGATGGATGTTGGATGAGAACGGAGAAGGGGTGGCTGGGGAGAGATCCGCCGGGCCGAGAAAGGAACGTGCGACGGAGACTCAATCACGTGCGAGCAAAAGATGTGCAATGACGCAACAAGGTTTTCCCACCAATGCCCCAATCTGGTTTAGGTGTGAATTTTCACTCCACTTTCCTCCCCCAGTATCCCTCCCTGGGCCAATTGCAATAGCACACACGCTTTGGCCCCGAATGACCAGCGCAAAGGAAAAGAATAACCCGGGGGATTTGCAATGCAGCGTATGTCCCTGTAATTTACATATTGGAAGATCATTTTTGATTATTCTCTCCTGTGGTAAAACAACAAAAGGCCCGAGATGTGCACACTACTATCTCTTTTTCTGAACTCGCGTAATGAAGGGTTAATCAAAAAAGGGTTGCGTGAGATTTTAGAAGGGGTGATTAAATGCTTTTGTTCGTGTTGCGATAAATATTGGGTTCTGTCGTGAAGAACAATTTGTGAAAAAAAAGAAAAGCGTAAGTAAGCGTAAGGCAGAGAGTAGACTAGGGTGTTGTTTGTTACAAGGGAGATAATTATGCCTCTTAAGACAAGGTGTTATAGCTGGGTAGATCAGCCGCAATGCCGCAACTTCGCCTTGGTAAGCGAGAAGCTTTTTCTCACCCCGCCTCTTGTACGACGACGTCGGACGTCGAGAAAAACCACATATTGTGTTCCTTAGAGAGGCTTCATGATCTGTGTTGTTCAAGAGGAGGATAGGAAAAATTGAAAATGCGAAAAATGCGCGGGAGTGGCCGTGTTGGCGGTTTAAAACTCATTTGCGCACGCTGCTGTTGGCATGCAGGTCCAGTACACGTTGAAAGAGAATTAGGAAAACACTGGTTGCCGCTTGTGACGGAGTTTTGACGGACTCCGTCGACGGGCTAGTTTGCAAAGGCAGGCTGCAAGGTGCCTAGTACCTTACCCATCTTCCTCCCCTCTCTCTCCTTTTTTCCATGCCGTTGCAAGCGCAACCAGTCTAAAGCCACGCATGCACTGGTCGCTTTTCCAGCGCAACGATGGCCGGTCATCATGCAGGAACCAAACGGGGAAACCTTCGCGACGAGCCATGGTGGGCTCACCGTGTCATTTTTCACCAGCGTCTCGCGATTGAACGGCGGACTAGTGGAAGAATGGACGGGCCCCTCTGACTTTTGTCTCTGTTAACTGGGGGGGATCCACTTGATTACTTACGCCCAGTGGGGATATCCCACCGAAGTGTGATACGTTTGGATTTCTTGGTTCACACACCAGAGCTACTGTACATGTCATGTACATGCAGACTTTGGTTTTTCAAGGGGTAAAAGGGGGGAGGGGGGATGGGGAAATGGAGGAAAGGAAGGGAGGGAGGGAGGGAGAGAGAGAGAGAAAGAAAAGCCCGGTACTCCGTAGCTGAACCAGACTTCCCCAAGAGCAAAAGCCAGGTACTCCAAGTGAGATCGGCCACGCTCTTGCCCTGACAGATACCGGGAGCTGTGGGGTGCGTCCGTTGAATGAGTAAAAAAAACAGTGGGGGACTCGGTCCCATAGGCGTTGTGCCAGCACAATCCAAGCCGCAATGTTCCGGAACCCGTACTCCGCAAGTCGTTTGACGTGCAACGTCTTCACCGCATAGTAACTTGGGGCACAGACTGTCCATGATGCGCATGAACCGCACAAGATCGAGCGAGACAACGATCGACGGACAACCGTCAACTCGTGCGTTTCACCAGGGCACCCGTCACAGTACCATGGTTTCCAAAAAAACTTGGGACCGAGGAACTTTTCGTCTGACACCTGTTTTGGCTTGTCCTACAGGCTATTGACAGCTATAGCCTTGCCTTGACGGCTACGTGTTTCATGCACAATTTTTCTTTCCCTCGTTGACGAGGATTGTTCTGGCCACGCCATCCTGGCAATCTGTTCAGACAGCATCACCTTGCACAGGCTGAATGCACAGATTATGAGGTATTGCTCATGCATCTTTACGTCACGAGCCAAAAGAAGGCCCTCCTTTGCGGAGGATATCCGGCGGGATCTGCGATTAGGGTGACACTGAGATGCTGCGATGCTTGCCAAAGCACGATGAGCACAAGGTTTTCATCACACTGACAGGGGCGGCTGGAAGCAATGTGACATGGCACCACGGAAAGAATAGTGTCTGGTGAGAATAAGTAATCATGAAGGCGGAACTGGGCTTGTGACGGGTGATTGTACTTTTGGAACCCGTAGCGCCCAGTCTGCAAGCCGATGGTAATACGTATGCGTATAACAAGTTCTCGACCGGGACTCTACGGATGAAGGGGGGTTGTGTCCCACAATGGCACCGTTCTTCCCGAGCGCCTAAGTAGGGGCAGCCATCGTGTAATAAAAGATGGGTTGAAATTCCGGCCAGTGACCGAGTGTTTTCGGACCCGACATAGTGGAAAACCGCCCTGTTATTACTCCCCTTGAAAGCCCAAAAAGGCCTCAAATGGACGGCCTTCCAACGGTGCATGCATTAGCGGTAGAAACACAAGATGATTGTGGTGGACCGTGGCAATTTAGACGGCAAAGACGAGGATAGCGGGGACGCCCGGCCTGACGGCGTAGACCCGAGACGTGAGGATCCGGGAGGGTACTATCGATTGGTGCATGCATGGCCACGTTAGGGTACCAGCCATGGAAGCGGTCCCCTGCGGCCAAAAGGTCCATGCCATTTTTCTCAACGCTTGCAGCAGGTTTGTTACTTTGCAGATTTACGCTAATGGGGCATCACTGGAGCTGTGGCGCGCTAGGCGGGCGATCAAAGTCTAATAGCCGAACATGGTAGGATCGTATGGGAGGGGGCGCATGATCTAGCCCTCACTGACTCCTTTGCTCTTCTTGGTCGTGGTGGGTGTGGTGAGGAGTTTCTAGTCGCCGACCCTGTGTCTTTGGTGGTATCGATCTGGATGCGCCGTTGACTTTGACGTTTCTAGCACTGGCATAGCAAGAAAAGTGATGGATTGAACAGGGAAGCGTTAGGCATAATGTGGAGGCTGGACAGTCCGCATGCGGACGTTGATGGCGACAAGAAGGGGGCCGGGCGTGCCGTAGCGGGGGAAAAGCCGACGCTCTGATTCGAGACTTAGGGTTGCAACGGGGAATATCCCAGTGCGTGTGACAATGCACCTGAACACAAGATGTGTAAATGGTTCATAGTTATACGGCCAGCGTGATGCTGTAATTAAGACAATCATGGCAGGTGTGTGGGTTTTGGCACAAGTCTACGACAAGTGTTGACGTAGAAGAAGAGAAAGCCTGCTAACGGCGGTATTTGAGAACTTGACCCACAGCACAGCCTTGGGGGGATCAGCCGATAGAGGAGACGCTGGAGGTTGCATGTATCGAGGTGACATTATCATGACCTGAAATCCATTGCCACCACAGCTTACATGCAGCTGCAGTGACCAAGAAAGGAGTGACCAGTGAAAAAAATGCTGACACGAAGGATTTCTCATTAGCTATGCTATCATAGCCCAATGATGAGGGCGGCTAGGCGATATTGCAGATGTTGAAACGGATAAGACTGCACAAGCTGATCGGTACATGAGGCAGGATCGGGTCCAGGCCTTGATCGAGGTGTGGTGGGGGATGAGGCACTGCCATGGGGTACTTTGGCCGTTTGTGAATGTCTGTCGTGTGGTGGGTACGCCCAGTAGTACGAGGTATCATTGGGGCGGTGAGAAGTTGCCGGTAGGGGTTGAGGGGCAACAGGATTAGTCTTCGCCGATCGTCGGTCATGAGGGTGGTCCCTCTGGTCTGTTGCTGAGTCGCTGGACCTCTGGGATCTGAAGTGAGGGATCAGTCATGTGGATGGATAAGTAGTGTAAGTTTAGAAGTGAGCTGATGGATATACGATTCGTATTTTTGTTTGACATGGCCATAGAGAAAATACAAATGCCGATGGCACTATTGGGTATTATCGCTAGCGACAATTTGTCGCAATATACAGATGACTCGCCAAAGTAGCGTTTCAAACTTTAACGCACAGAATGCAGAGGAGTGGCCGCAACAGGCCGAAACGAAAACAAGATGATACAACCTCCCAATGTGATGCCCCTTCTGTAGACAGGCCCTACTTGCGGGAAATCCTGCTAGTCATGCCCAATGTTCCTTAATGATTTCATACAATACAAGCAGATGTAAACCTTGAGAGAGAGAGAAAAAATACTAGAACAAGCGATGCCGATGGTGGACAACTCGGCTATTAATAGGGATACATGAAGTGACGGACGTGACATATAGACAAGAAGAAGGGATACAGTAGACAGTGTGAAACACAGGCAATCTACATGATGTTTCGCAGAGACATTCGGTCCTTTGGCGAGACTGGTGCGCTTCGTGCCTCTGCTGGCATTGAGGGCAAGACGTAAGGGGACGGCAGTTGCCTCGATGCCGGGCTGCTGCTCGCACTTGTGGAGTGGGGCAGAGGTAGTCTTGGCTCAGCAAGTGAGTGGAAAGGTGGTAGTGGTCGTTGTGGCACACTCGTGGGAGCAGACTGAGGCATGGAGTGGTGGTGTGTAAGCTGGGGGGTCGGCTGGGTAAGGAGCTGTGGTGGCTGCGGGCGCTCGTAGTTTGGCTCGCGGAAAGAAGGGGCTGCCTTGGAAGCCTGGGCCTCGTTGCGGTGCAGAGGAGGCAGCTGAAGTGAGCCACGGCGCCTGTAAGGATCGCTAGAAGAGTCGTCTTCGGGTGCAAAGCCAGTGGCAGGGAGGTAGCGGGTGCTGGAATTTTTGCGCTCTTCCCGGCTACCGACTAGCGGTGCGAGTGTCATGTCTAGGGGAGAAGCAGCACCACGGGGTGACCTCGACTCTGAGCCAGTATCAGTGATGAGGGAAGGAGCACCATCGGCAGATACGATGGAGTATCCAGAAGGTGAAGGCATAGGCGTCTCGAATCCTCGTGCTCGTACAGCGGCGTGTGATCCGTATGTGGCGAGATCGAGAGGCTGTGGGCGAGGTGCTGGGTAGGGCTCAAATCGCTGGGGCTGGGGAAGCTTGAGAGCATGTGGCGAGTGTACTGACGGTCGGTGGGAGTCGTGTCGTTGTTGGTCATGGCGAGGGGTCATCTGGTG